AAATAAACCCGGGGATATTTCTACGAACCCCTCCACGCCTCTTTGCAGTGAGGGAAGTGCCATGCCTCACCGAGGCCAGCATGGGTGAGACCCAGCTCTTTGCCAAGAGTTTCTTGGTGCATCCCCTCTTCCCTGTGGCCAGCAAACTGGACACCACTACAGAGGGGTTCTCACGGTAGCTGGGTATTACACAGCACCAGTGATGTTACTCTTGCTAAGCCCATCATAAAGAAGAGTAGCGCCCAAGTTCATCACGGAGAATGCATGCATCCATCGGCTTCTGAAACTGGGACAAGGCATGCATCATCTGGACATCAGGAAAAATGTTTCCCAGAAAGAGTGGTCAGAGAGTGGAACAGGCTGCCCAGGGAGGGGGCGGGGGGGGAGTCCCCATCCCTGGGGGGGTTTAAGGGCTGTTGGGATGAGCTGTGGGCGGATGTGGGGTAGGGGAGAACTTTGTAGAGTAGGGCTGAGGGTTGGACTCGATGATCCCGAGGGGCTTTTCCAACCGGAATGATTCTGGGATTCTGCCTTCCTCAGCGAGGTGTGGAGCTGAGGTGGTGAGGAAGCAGCCTGGGGAGCTGGTGTTCAGCGCCCAGCCCAGCTCCAGGCACACCGGGAGTGCTGAAGACAAGGAAACGACAGACAACCGGGCTCCATGTGACAGAGTTTAGTGTCTCCATGGACCATGACCCACATCCCAGCTGCAGACACAATCTGCTGATCTGCAGCCACTGTTTGCTTCTGGAGTGGAAAGCAAGGAGGGGCACAGGAGGAACCTCAAACCAATGACAGACATACTAAATGTAGAGTAGCTCTTATAATGTGTACATAATATTAACTATAATATTATTAACTCTTACACATGACAATGTCTTCCTGTTGTGTTTCCTGGATTGCACATTACTGGTGTCCCATCAGGAGCAGCTGACGAACAATATTAACAAAAACAATCGCAAAAGACACCACATTTGTCTCTCATGGCCATCGCCAGTGACTGTCACAGCAGAACCAGATCCTCCCCACAAAGCAAAGCCAGCAAGAGCAGACACGCATTGGTACAAGAGAAGCACCACGGGCAGCGTGGGGCAGCACCCTCCTGCTCGACCTTTGCTTTGGGCCACGGCATCTTTCTGCTCCCCTGGGAAAGAATCTTCGGAAACAGAAACAGCCTCTTGATTTTCCTATACTGCCCTGTGGTTAAAAGTGTCATCCCAGACCTGGAGGAAATGGGAACCACTGACCGTGTGTGAGGAGAGACTTTAAATCCCACAGTAGAAGTCACCATCATGAACCACATCAGCCACACAGGCAAAGCTCCATTGACAATTAGAAAGTACAAACCGGCAACATCAAAGGTCACAGGCCACATGGCCAATTTACAGAATAATGACCCACATCACACGCATCTAGGAAACCCCTCCACACCTGAACAAAAAAAACCATCTCCAAGCACTGACATGACATAAGGAAAGCAACGTTCTAACACTCTCGAGACCAACACAGTTAAAGACTGTGGCAATGCATCAGCCTAAGTTTGGAGACACCCAAAACACCAACATGGCTTTGTTTTGGGTCTTCCCAGGTGTTGCTGTTGTTCACCACAGCACTGAAAGGCCACAAAAGGGAAACTGGAGCTAACGAAGCAGCGCTCTGCAGCCTTTGCTCTTCTGCACTGCTTGTTCTTTGGGATCATTTTTGGTTTGGATTAAGGAATGATGCTATGCCATACGGTACACAGCTTCTCATGAGCGGTTTCATTATTTCCCCTAGCAATCAGCTGTCTCTTAACGAACTTGTTTTAAAATTAAAAACTGTTATTAATAGTAAGAGGTGGACCCAAGCTGGGGACACAAACGTGCCCCAATCTCGGCACTGCAGTCTTAGTCCTACTCAAAAAACGCCTGCAGGCTCTGCTCCAGCTGTGCTGTGTACAGTGTGCTGACACCTCATGGCCAAGCGAGGAATTCAGATAAGACACCATTTCCCAGGATATATACACACACACATAAATTCTCCATCTGCTATAAGGCAAGAAATGAGGTTCATTAATCAAGAAGTTTCTAATGATTAGATCTGAACATAAAAAAAAAAAAAAAAAAAAAAAAAAAAAAAAGGAAAGAAAACCAGTCCAGAAATGCTTCATATCCTTGAATTGCAAACAGAGGAGTACCCCAGGGTCCGTTACGCGTAGCTGCAGGAGTCTGAGGTTCCCTGATCAGCATCAGGACGGCTCTAACACGCCTCTTCAACAGCACGGCCCGTGTACTGAACTACACATAGTGAACCTTGGGGTCTCGGACCTGGAAAGAGAGTGTCCGTGTCCGGGCTGTTCGTTACCCGGCTCGCCCCTCTTCCATGGGGTTCTCCCAAGGACAGGTCACCTCCTTCACAGAGTCCTTAAAAGCTTGGTGGCGGTTGTCCTCTCCCTCCTCAGAGTCTACAGGGTAGATTCGGCTCTCCGAAGGAGCATCCATTTTTATTTGGAAGAAGCTGTGTTGTGAAATAAAAACTCATCACGCGCGTGGCACTTTTTGATGTGCTCTCTGAGACAGCAAACACGCAGCACGGAGCCTGGCTTTGAGTTTTCCACTGTTCAAACCCCAAATCCCAAAGCAGAACTCCGTGGCACAAGCCTGAGGAGATGGAAAACGAAGGAAATGTGCACTCCCACCCCTTTGAAGCAAAACTGCTGTGTGACACAGCTCCGACACAGCCAGAGAGCAGAGCCAGGTGGAGAAGGAGCCCTCAGACTTGTGCTCTTGAATTTATAATGCAGACTCATCCACTTGGACAGCAGCAGAGGTGGATTAAAAGAGGTTGAGGACATGTTGCTCTTAGTCAGGGACATGGCCAGGATTTGGTTTCAGCAGTGACAGCCTCTCCAGGCAAAAAAATCCCCGATCTTACACATCCTGCTCTGGAATAACGAACATTTCGTAACTCTCCCTCAAGAATTCTCCTCCCTTGTTACTTCTGGGTCTCCTCTGACTTTCAAATCATTAAACCAAACTTGAACTAACGCTTGAGAACAAACACAAAGATACAAGCAGTTTTCCAAATTCAGGGATCAAAAGTAAAACCTGGGGGCCTTGTACCATGAGCAGGAGGTGTAAGCGCAGCAGAGGGGAACCACCGGCACGGCCTCTCACCCTTTTCTCATCAGAAAACACATCCAATACAGAAAACAAGTGCAAGGAGCCAAGGGAAAGAGATGCTTTTATACCAGTGGTGGTTTTTAGGTGCAACTGTAGGAGAGGCAGCCATCAGCCGGGCTCACAGTGTCACCCAGCCTTGCGGGGAGGATTCTCGGGGGTATACAGGGTCCCTACCCCAGCATACAGGAACCTCTCAGCGTCTTTGCTGGTGCAAAGGCCTCGAGCTTGTCTCCAAAGCCACCAAAATAACCAAATCAGACACACAACAACTGCTAAGACACACAGGGCCTCAAGGCCCCACGGCCCATGAAGCCGCTTGATGTGGGGGCAAACGCAAACGTACCTTCATGCTGGGCTGGGGCTCTTGTGCAAGGCGGCCGCCGCCTCCCCCGGCCTGCTCCAGCGTGTGGAGCCTCGGGGACACGGGGCAAGGGGTGACAGGGCGGCAAGGGCACAGGCAGTGCCCGCTGTCCCCAGGGGGGAGGAGAGGCCACATCCCTGGATGCTCCCTGGGGCCAGCGGGAAGGTGCAGCACCTCCATTTTCCTGCCCGACGCCAGGGAGGAGCAAAGCCCGTGCCTGGTCCCGGCAGCCGCCATCACAGGCAGCCTCCCCGCAAGGCGCCGTGGCGGGGATCCGGCGATGGCTGACTGGATACGAACACAAGACCCGCTTCCACAGGCGCAGCTGATGCTGTTCCCACCTCTGGCTAATCACAAACGGAAACGGTCCCGGGGCGAGCCCCTCACGAGGGCATCTGCGCGGTGCTTACCTGCTCACGGCCTTGGCGTCCGGCCGCAGCCGCCGCTCCCCCTCACGCAGCGGCTGCACCTTCCCGTGGGGCACGGCCGGGCGCTTGGGCGAGAGCGTGGCGAAGACGGGCGA